CCATCCAATTTCACGTTGCCTTGATCCCCAAAAAGGTATTCACACCCAAGCCATAGTGGACACTATTTTCGCCTTCTCTTAAATTGGTCTTATAATCACTCGCAGTGGGACATGAACCATGATTTTTCAGCCAATAATCCTGATAAATTAACCGCCACGCTGCACAGATATGACTGCCCTTGGATCATAGGGCAGATGTGAATTTCGAAGAAGGCCAGGCCTTTTCCCCATAACCCATCCTGTCGTGGGTTATGACGAAGTGGTTAAGGTATCGAGATTGTGCCTTGTACTATCATGGTTCGAGTCATGGTGTGGCTGCTGCTGAGACCTAGGCGAAGTCGAAACAGTAATCCATTCCAGCCTGGAGGAGAATACCTTATGGGAAGCAAGGCTATGTGAAATTCAATGGAAATGTATAGTCTGCACATATCAATGTGGGAACATTCAACTAACAGTCTTTCTTCACCTTAACGCAATAGGGTGAATACATCTCATGAACTTCTAAGTAGTCATAGAGTGGAATGAAAAGAAGACAACCAAATAATTATAGAAGTGGTTCAACCTTGTCTTTTGCAACTTGGTCGTATTTTCAGAAGGATCTAGATTAACGCACCTTGTTTGGAGTCTATATTATCCATAATAATTTTCTGTATCGGACCGTGGATTTGATACATTGCCAGACGTTTCTCCGGCAGCTTGGTAGGCATCATCAGAGTCTAGCCAGTCTTAGCACCAAGCGAGAATTCGTCAAAAAGACGATTGAAGTCCATCCTTTGGCCGGCAAGATCAGTTCATCCGGGCCGGCCTGACAACACGAACAAATTGTAAGAACGAGGTCAAACCACTTCTATTCAGCGAAAAGAGACTACGACCAAAATAGCGAATGAGATTCAATTTTAATTGGATTTGTCATGGCAGATGACAGACGAAGGCTTAGCGTGTTCTCATCGTAACTAAATTCGTTTGACGCGTAGACTTGAATGTCAAATTAGGCTCAAACGACTGCAACCGTTGTCGTCAGATGATTTGGATCTACAGATATATTTATTCGGCCCTTTCCCTCAGAATAGCTCCGTGAAACCGCTCAAAATAGCAAAATTATGGCAGCCACAACTCTACATTCGGCTCGTGTGTGCATAACTCCTTCCAGTTGGCTTTCGCCAGAATAGCGAAGTCGGCACAAAAGTCGTGAACCTGCCCACTGTGCCATGGTGACTCGGCAAAACAGGGTAAGATAAGAGTAGGATAACGTTTAGTTACCACTGCAGCGTCTGTGCTGACATATCCATCTCCATTTTTATCGAAAAGCTCAAACGCCTGGCGTAGGTCTTTACGGAATTTGTCGTCCACGTCTATCCTTGGCCATAGACGAGAGTTGGCCGAAGTGCTCGCGGTGTTTTCACTGTTGCTCATCGCTGTTCAGCTGGGTTGGCTCTTGCCACAACTGTGGCCCGACTGACCGTGAACATTTCGCCGGTGAGTTGAACTCGTCTCGGATCGATGGACCGACAAGCGGAGCGCCTCGCAGTGAGGCGCACTGGGACGCGGCAGACTCGCCAGGTGGCCCAAAGACAGGCGACTGCTGCAAATGTTTGCAGAATCCGCCGAGATTGGGTGAAACAATCGCTTGGCAAATGTAAGTAATTCACACGATCGTTATAGGATAGGCCAGGCAATCTTTCCTTCTATCAACTCAAGACCCATTTTAGCTAGACTTGTAATGTGTATATTTTTACACTCTTTGTTAATCTTAAATGAAGATTTTGCTCTTAGAAAGAAGGAAATGGGCAATTCACTTCAATATTGACGTGGAGGCTTTCATTTGGTATGAAAGTGAATAAAGAAGAGATTCGTTGGTCGATCTCACCAGATGAGGACGGATAAATCTTGTGGTACTGCAACTGCTTGGCTTTTATACGATATTCATGTTGACGTAGTCCACGAGACTTCCTCGTTTCGGGTGAAAACGTGCTGAGCTTTCGTCCATCATTAGATAGACATCATCAGAGCTGGGTGTCATTCTTGTAAAAGTCTTACGTTAACACTAGCCAAAAGAAAATTAAAAACCTCGATAGATCGATATAGAGGGGTTTAGTTAATTATCTTTCATACTGGTCCTGTTACTTTTGCTCGACTGTGTATGTGTGTGTGTTAGCGTCCATATGCAATAGGGTTTATAAATCTGAGCTATCAAAAGGTTAAATCTCAGATTCTGATCCTCAAGACCTAAAGACCAAAAAGAAAGTCTTGACCAAAACTTCGTAAACAAGTATGATTGAGATAATGATATATGAGCTTGTAAGCATGAAAATCAAGTCACCAAACCACTTTTCCTAACCTTTTGGTCTAGAGTGATTTACGTTAAACCCACAAGAAAAAGCAAAACTTTGGTTGCGTAATCTTACATGTATGGTTTGGTTGATGAGCTTACTCTAACACTTTGGGCGAATGTGAGTGAAATTAGAACCATCACTGAGCAGACAAATTGAGTCGCCTTGTTTTTGACAGCGGCTCAACACCCTCTC